CCTCCTAATACGTTAGGATTGTAATTTGAACGGAAGTAAAAACCATAAAAAAGTTGTATTTCAATGAAATCTAAATTTTTTTTAACTCAACACACACTTTTAATAAAAACTTAAGGATATAGAAAAAAATAATTTATTCTTATATTTTTAATTTATTCTTATATTTTTGAATGTTTTTTTCAATTTTTTAAAGTATAAAGATGGTCTTAAAAAAATAAATGATGGTATTTGATAAATATATTTTTATCAGAATATACAACTTTATTTTTGACACCAAATGTTCGAGTCTCTGAATTTTAAGATGTATCTAAAAAACTCATTTTTGGAACCGGTAAAATAATTTTTTCTTACTACAACGTTATGAAAATACGTGTTTTTAAATTTGAATTAAGGATTAAAAGTTTTATTTTTTTTAAGTCTCCGTTCTTACTTGACTATGAATGGATCTAAAAAATCTATTAAAAAAGTTGTGAACGAAAAACTGATTTTCATTTCTCAGAGTTGTGCAATCTTGAGAATGGTAACAAACGACATTTTCTGAATTTAAAACTGCCAGGTAGTAGTGTAAAAATGAAGCTACAAACAAAATTTGAGCCCAATTGGATGAAAGCTTGTAGAGTCAGTCGATTTACTTGTCTTCACAAGTATCGGTTACACTTTTTGCTCTGACTAAAATATAAGACACTTCTGTAAAACAGTTGTGCTTAAGAACCTATATTTTATAAACGTCCTTAAATAGAGTTTCTAGAGTCACTACCTGATTTCTAAACAATTAAACTCAAAATTAGAAAATAACTTTGTCCTAATATAAGAAAATTTCAGTTTGCAATCCGAGGAGTTTCATCGAAGGGCATTCAAATTTCCAGTAACTTTTCTACTTAGTCTTTTAATTAATTTAAGCTTTAAATACGTGTATTTAAAAAGAAAATTATAAATTCCATTGAAAACTTTAATCTTAAACTCATTATGATTATACTTTATTAAAGTAAGACTTTTTCATCGTTTAATTTTATCGACGCAGCTCAATCTATAGTTCAAATCGCATAAACAAATAATTTTACATTTTCCCTTGATTCATTTAAAATTGGCTTTAGTTGTAGTTTCCGAAAAAAAAAAATCTATTGATGCTTGATTGAGCCATACTTTCGCTTACTTTGATTTCGATCTATGTTGTTGCTAGGTTCATAACAGTTCATGCGAGTCCCATTAGTCTTCCAAAAATCTACATTAGGGAAAAAAGTCTCTTAGTATCTACTATCATAGCAGGTGAATACAGATTAATTTGAATGTTTTCTACTTTTACGGCCTATTAGAGAACAATAAATAAGATCCTTTTTTTTATGACCCTTATAGATTGAAACTGGATAAATTAAATCTAAAATGAATACATTTTAGGACCCTAATTAGTTTTTGCTTTTGGTTCAACTGTAGTTTAGAATTTCAAATTAACTACGATTATGGATGTATGAAGGTAACTAAAGTTTTGTACGTTATCGATAAGGTCAATTTCATTGCTTTATAAAGCTATCTTTTACACATATCCAGCTATTTTATCGAAAAAAGGAGAATTGACGCACAAACTTCTCAAAATTCGTTGATAACATAATTCAAGGCAAAAAACAAAACATCAGATTTTGAAATAGTAAGGTGTAATCTGATTTTTGGCCTTTTTTTTATATGACAATAATTCTCGCGAAAATTTTAAGCTTCATCCATTTTTTTAAAAGTCAAGAATATGTAACAACTATTTAACTAACACGTTCTAAATCAATTCATTTTATGGACTAAGAAAAGTAGCTTTTGATCAGTACACGTGAAAACTTATATAGTTGGAGTGAAACCTTATGCCATCTGTTCATTCCTTTCTTTTCTTCTCTCTCACTTTCTTGTCTAACCTTACTTTTTTTTTGTGTCTCACTAATTGTTCACTGTTTACTGACTACTTTTCTTACTTTTTCTTTGAACTAAATCATTCCTAACGTACTTTTTGTTTCATTTCTTTACCTATAACTTTACTCTGCACACTATGCTTATCTCACAAAATTTTTTTTTCAGTTTTCGCACGTGCCTTTGTATCTCTGCTCCATCCTACCGATTTTTATCACTCTCAATCCTTTTATTTTATATCTTATCTTACTTTTTATCTACTTTTTTAATGTTTTTTTTTTTAATTATGCATTTGTAACTTGTCACTATTTGTAACCACTATTTGTAACTTTATCTTTCTTTTGTGAAATTTTTTTCTTGATTAATTATTTAAAACTTTAATCTTAGGAATACATTATAGTTTAATAACATTTTTTAATTTATTATAATACTAATTTAAATTACCTTGAAGATAGTAGAAAAGCTTGCACATTAGTTCACCATACACCCATATGATAGTTACAGCTTGACTGATTGACATCGGCATACATATTATGGTCACTAATAAATCAGCCACTGACAAATTGACGACAAAATAGTTTGTAACACTAAAAATAAAAATCAAGTTAATTTATCTTAAGAAACAACACATGATTTTTATTTAAAATTAAATAAATTTGTTCTATGCTGTAGAATATATGCAATTATTATTTAGCATGTGCATTGAATTTCACAAAATTTATCAGTTAAACCATTTTGGGTTCGAATTCATGGTTTTAATTCGACAGGATCAGAGGATAAAAAAGAAAAATATGTAGGTCACGATAGTCCTGTAATTATCTCTGCTGCGTGATTGAGGCACCCGCTCTGACCGATACAGAAAAGGCCATTTTAAAACAGTGGGGTATTGACCAAAGTATTTTAAATAAAGGAATTTACACTCCCACATTGCCTTTTCTATTGATAATTACAATTTAGAGTGGGCATGTAAGTCAGAAGAGGAGTTTTCCAGAAAATAATTTTTTTTTTTTAATTTTCAGTGCATCAAACTTTAAAAATTTATAAAAATNTATCTACTTTTTTAATGTTTTTTTTTTTAATTATGCATTTGTAACTTGTCACTATTTGTAACCACTATTTGTAACTTTATCTTTCTTTTGTGAAATTTTTTTCTTGATTAATTATTTTTTTTGTCATCCCACTTAGAAACACGTCGTATTTTCTATGCATCTATATTGAAAATCCTATTTACGTAAGTGCATTAACGTATTTGCTATGAGAATGTCATGTGGCGATATAGCCCATCGAAAAAGCTTGGGGGACGCCAGTGTAGTTTATAGATATCTTTGAACATCTTAAATAATAAGTATTTGATGGTAAGATACGAAGCGTCTAAGTTATAAAAAATTTATTTGTAACTGCCATTTGATTCTATTCAAGTCAAAGCAAGTATTTTTCATATAACAACAGTTAAAAGTATGAAGATCCTCTGAAGGTATGATGTATATGTATGTGATGTGTAGTCTATCCAAACAGAGCGTTTGCTAGATGCAGTTATGCTCTCTCAGTGTTGCTATATACATTGTGACGTGGCGAATTGGATATATATACATATAACTGCACCGAGCAAAGTAAATATATCTGCATCGAGCAAAGTGTATATATATATATATATATATACTAGTTGGGCTGACGCCCCCCTGCGCACTCCACGCGCCAACCCCCCACTAACAGATTAAGTAGACAAAATAACAACATTACTCATGTAGTTATCAATGCAGACTAAGAGTGAGTTCACAACAGCAGAATACGTGACTTACGAAAGAGTTGATGAAATAGATGATAACATAAACATTAATTTTCAATAGAATTTTTTAATAATATCAGAGAAGGTCTTCCACAACACAAATTAAAATTAAAAATAAATGCTACAGCAATGTCAATAAGAAATTTAAGATTATCAGACGGTCTTTCGCACAAGATTAAAAATAACAAAATTATCTTACTAATGTATAAAGCAGAAGCGCTAAAACCGTTGTAATCGCTAACCGCGAAAACTACTGAACCGAATTTGTTAAAATTTTGCACACTGATTCATAATACTTCCTAGATGGTTTTAGTATAGTTTTCATCTTAAAAAATTTAATAACAATAGCAATAAATGAGCTCAAAGTTTTGCAAGAATACGTCAGCTTTTTACTTTATTTTAGTAAAATCCGCTAGGTGGTATCGACATAAAATCGAAGCTACCTGCAACATAATTAAATAAGTATGGTTATCATAAGCTGGAGCGTCTCCGTGCTGTTGCAGTCGAGCTTCAGCATTTCAACAAGTTGTATAGAGAATGCTGATGATAGTCTTGCAGCTGGGTATCCTGGTTACGGACGACACTTCTCTAAGGAGGAAGGGACCTAGGTGTCCAATCACCCTGATTCTCGACGAGTGCGATCAAATAAAAAAAATTAATTCCAACCGATGCCGTCTCTGCCACAATACCAGGAGACATATCTAGCCAGAATACAATCTGCACCAACTCTTCATAGTTGTGTGGCAGTCCCACCATCCCACCTGGTGCAGTTAGAGAATTTGTGGCAAGGGAAAACAGCTCTGAGGGGCACGGGCAGCCACAACGGTTACCTTCTTGGTCGTTGCGTCCCCAACGCGCTCACCCACATGTTCCCGTCTAACGATAAGCGATTGGTTATCCGGGGAACGACCCGAGACGAGATATTCTTTGGTCAGCGACGTACCTCCCTCCATCACAGTCTCCGAACATCAAGACTCCAAGGGTAAGAATCAAGCAACCCGTAGCCAGCTCTTCATCATCAGGAATAAGAATAGCCTGGAAGTTTCACCACTGACGCTTTTTAGGGCCATTATAAGTATTTGCGTTCCCTACTTAACCATCAATTTCATCGGTTCTTTTTAGGATCTACCTAAGTGTAAACTACCTTGCCAACAAATACATTTTTACTACCATTTCCGGAAGCGATTCATCGACTAAAAGACTATAGTAACTAAAGACGGGCACTATTAAACCAAGTCAGCCATTCACTAGCAGACGTCACCTGCGGAGTTGATCTTCGCAAGGCTGGAAAACACGGTGACCGACGACCCTATACTACCCTCTCGACTCTAAGCATTCAACCAGGAATCACTGATCCTCGCCAAGGTCTGCGTTGGGCAAACCTATAACAGCTATGAAGGAAAAAAAAACTTGAGCCAACGGGACAGCCTCCACTGGACAAGTATCACTAACCAATCTCCCCATCTAAGATCACCAAAACAACTGAATCTTCAAATAAAAAAGGTGCTTTAGACACCAACGTCTTCAACGTTATACCATGAGACGTTGGTAAAGAGCACTACAACTAGCCCCAAAGCTTCAGACTTTGTAATTTTTCTCCCAATTAGTCTGGGTCTTCAACAGCAAGCCAGAAAAGATCACCCTGAGGTATCCAGGCAGTCACAATTGCTGTTAACTGCAGTCAAGAAAGCGTTACCTTAAGAAGCTCACCGGTCTTTTTCAGGGCCATCGGACGTCGAACTACTTTGCCAACAAATATATTAGAACTTAACAAAGTTGACAGAAAACAGCCTTTAGGGGTCACACAAATTTTAAGCATACCAAAAGTCGCAAGAGGGTGAATTGGAAAAAAAACTTCAAGTGTATCTCATAAATACAATTTTTACTTAGGCGTCACGAAACTGACGTAGAAAATTTATCGAGATTGGAACAGCAGCGTCAAAATTGACAACTGAAGAGTCCATTACGTGAGAGATCAGCTTTTCATTGTACCCTCACAGCAATCTCTGAAATCTGTCAAAATCCTACTTCAGATTTTTAAATAAGTAGAAAATGTATTTGTGTTTTTGTGGCAATAAAAATGTAGGGTTTAAGGTCCAGGACTTTGTTGCTCTGGTAATAAAGTTGTGAGATATGAAAAAAAAAGTTTTTTTTCAACATAAATTTTTTGGGGGTTTAAAATCTTAACATCTTTAAAAAATAGCCGTTTTCGTGAATTACACGGGAGAAACTGTAAATCAACGGCTTCTTATGGCCACCGATTATTTTATGGCATAAAGAACGCACGGTACTTTTTAGCATAATTATTTTTTTTTTTTTACACCTTATGATTTGACCAAATAAACTATATGGATTCCGAAAAAATATGTTTTTAATAAGAAGATTTTTATTTTGAGATGTATCAGGAATATGTGTAAAATTTCTAACTTAAAATGTTTCACATTACATGTCAACACACTACGGTGTTTTATTTAGTAAGTCTCGGGAGAAGATGAGACGGGGGGCTGCTAGTTTAAGTATAATGTAGAAGAAAAAATAATAACTGGAGACAAAAAGGAAGCACAATTTACATTTCTAGAATAACATTTAATACTGGCACCTCATCAACATATAGAAAACTGTCTCCCTTTGTATTAGCATTTTCTATGTTTATTAACAAATCACAAGGACAGAGTTTGGATTCCTTAGGATTGCATATTAAAAAACCTTTATTTTTTCACGGATAATTATACGTTGCTTTATCACGATGTGAGAATCCAAAAAGAATTTTTATTCAAATTGAATACAAGAATAAATTAGAAATTACAATTTTGTTTAGCGAGAAATTTTTCAGTAATTCAAAAATACGTAACTTCAAAGATCGTCACATTTAATCTCACATATGTTAATTCATAAAAACCATGAAAAAATATATGTAAAAAACGTAGAAAGGGTTTTAAAAGAACAGATGGGTTAAAACGACGCATAAAATGTCACAACATTAAATTAACAGAATTAACTATTGTTTCAAACGCTTAATTGTCTATTTAATCACACCTGCTCTTGAATTCTGTATTTTTGTAAATAAAGTCCTTAGTTAATCAAGAACTTTATATTTAGGTAAAGTACACATGGACCAGATAGACATTTCAAATGTAAAAGTTCAATCAAGTTAAACAAATAATGGTCCTTCAGATACATATAGCGAGTAAAGGGGAGAGAATAGACAGAGGGGAACCTATGATCAGGAGGAGTGGGGGGAGGTTACTTAAATATAATTTGATCAAAAATGACGTAAAAACAAGAAAATAACAATGTGAATCGAGGGGGAGCGGGGAGGAGCGAGGGGGCTGAGACTCACTTTTGTCAATTGAACTATATATATATATATATATATATATATATATTCGAACACGTCACAAAGCTTTAGTCAACAACAGTAAATAGCAAGAGTCTCGTAGTTAGCTCTCTCTCTCCTGCATGTAGCATGCTGTAATATATGGAATCCCGGTATGAAGCCCGGAGGCTACAGCATTAAGAGTAGCTATAGAGCTCGGTCTAACTACTCTCCTGTGCTTCCTAGCTACCTACCTGTATTCCGAAGGTGTGTGTGTGTGTGTGTGTGTGTGTGTGCGCGCGCACGAGCGCGATGCTGAGAGAACGGATCCATGAAGGACAGCTGTCGGTGTGTCGGTGTCCCGGGAGCCACCCTAGTATTGGTGACCACTGTGTAGTGCTGTGTAACCTGTTTTGGCTGATAGAGTGTGGTGGGCCTCATAGCATACGGTGCGCCTGTGCAGCGGGACTAAAGAGACACTTGAG